AAGAGGCCGCCTGCCGATGCAGGGGACACGGGTTTGTGCCCGGGTCCGGGAAGATCCCACATGCCACGGAGAGGCTGGGCCCGTGAGCCATGGCTGCTGAACCTGCGCGTCCGGAGCCTGTGCTCCGCAACGGGAGAGGCCACAGCAGTGAGAGGCCCGCATACCGCAAAAAAAAAAAAAAAAAAGAAAGAAAAAAAAAGAAAATAATCCTCTTTACAAGGCAGGGGATGCTGGTTCAATCTCTAGTTGGGGAACTAAGATCCCACATGCCACGGGGCAACTAAGCCCGTGTGCCACAACAAAAGATCCCGTGCCCACAACTAAGACCCGACACAGCCAAAAAATAAAAATAATATTAAAAAAAAGAATAGCTAAACATAAAAAAGATTATACGCCAAAAAATTATATTGAATGAAGAAACACTGATGTATTCTTATGAAAACCAGGAACAAAAAAGGGATTCTGGCTAGTAACATTATTGTAATTAAACTCACTATAGCGAGTCTAATAATATAATAAGAAAATGAAATATGTGGCTTAAATATTAGAAATGAGGACATTAAAAAATCTTTACTTGAAGATTACATGGCTGCACACCTAAGAAACATGACATTGTACTAACATGGTCTGAGCTAATAAGAAACTTCTAAGATGGTTACATATAACATAAAGATACAAAGGTTAACTGCTCTCCTCTGTATTAGAAACTAATTATAAATGTAAATGGCATTAAAATTGATTAAACTGGATTAAAAATATATAAGAAAGGTATAGTACCTAAAGAAATTATAAACTTTATCAAAGTTTAATAACAAGATTTGATAAAAGAGATTTATTGGAAACCTTTAAATTAAAAAAAATTATGCCTCCCTGGTGGTGCAGTGGTTAGGAATCCACCTGCCAATTCAAGGAACACGGGTTCGAGCCCTGGTCCAGGAAGATCCCACATGCCACAGAGCAACTAAGCCCGTGCGCCGCAATTATTGAGCCTGCGCTCTAGAGCCCGCGAGCCACAACTACTGAAGCCCGTGCACCTAGAGCCGGTGCTCCGCCAACAAGAGAAGCCACCACAATGAGAAGCCCGCGCACAGCAACGAAGACCCAATGTAGCCAAAAATAAAATAAATAAAATTAAAAAAATTAAATCCTTCCCACATTACAAGTATAATGCAATGACAATCTCAAATCTCAACTGTATCATTCTGTATCATTTTGTAACTATTGAAATCATTTTTTCAAGTTCTTATGGAAGAATACATACATTTTGAAAAAGAAAAATAGTGAGAGGGACCTTTCCAAATCAGACATTAAAGTTAAATATAAAGTAGTTTGGCAGTAACACAAGAATGGACAAACTAGTCAGTGTAAAAAAATAGAGAATGGAAATTCAAAAATATACCTACATGTATAAATTTATACATATACATATATAAATGTTGGATTCTCTATTCTGTTCCACTGACTCTTCAGCCATTCTTGTGCCCATTCATGTACATATGTAATGTGATAGCGGCAGTCAGTCCATTCTCCATGGGAAGAGAGTATGGCTTATTTATAGTAAATGAAACTGGCATAATTGATGGTTCATGTCTAGGAGAAAACAAAATTAGATCCTCATTTCAAATATACAGTACATCCATCAAAAATTAATTTTAGCTGTGTTAAAGACCTAACTTTAGTAAAATAAAACTTTAAATATTAGAAAAAAATTGAAGATGATTTGTGCAACCTGAAAGGGAGGATAGAGTGGGGAGAAGAAGCAGGAAATAAGAATAAGATAGGAAACCCAAAGACTAATGGTAAGATAAAAGACAAACCCAAATGTTTGTCAATACCTCCAAGCCCAAGGCCAATATTTCCAGAGGTTCTAAGTGTCTGATAAATAATGATACTGTATATTCACATTTTAAGGAATATTAGCACTGTTTTTTCAACAATATTTTAAGCAACTTTTTGGCAACCTCCCATAGCCCTGCACAGGTTGATCTACACCATGTGCTGTAAATGGCTTCAATAAATACCTCATGAATGACATTGCAACTGCAGGAAACTGGTCATCTTGGTGCCCAAGTTGAGCCCCAAGTGTTTCTCTCTAACCTGCCAATGACGGGGCGGGGGCTATTTTCAAGGTCCGTAGGGACCGCCTAATGTCGAGAGAATTGTCTATGGCCTCCCCCAAACACACTGAGGCTTTTACCACAGGTGATATCATCTTTCCACTCAGGATTATGTAAGTGTCCCCTTGTCCTGAGGAAGTCCCAAAGGCATTGAATAAATGTCATCTGTTAGGGGATTTGTTAACACTAAGGGAAATTATTCAAAAGAAGCAATTGGGAAATAATCATTTACATTTTCTTTTAGGTCTCTGATATGCGTTGTAGTCCTTTTACATATAATACTTAAATGATTACATGTCCCAAATAGTATTTTTGAAGATATTAAGAAAGTCAGCTTTTGAACAAACTATCAATAAAAGACTGATGATTGAATTCTAAGTATTCATTTACAAACTCACTTATAAATTAACTTAGGAGAATTTATAAACTCCTTTCAGTTACAGATATATACGTAGGAAATACTTATTTTCAGACTGTCGTCATTTCTCTGGTCTTGTGCATTTAAATAGATATCTCCCAAATGTTTAGTCTTACCTTTTAGAAGGAGGCATTTACTCCCATGTTACTAAAGAAACTGGACTGTTGAATTCAGAAAGTTGGCAAAAGAAAGTTTAAGCAATATTACATAAGAAATATTTTCCTGGACCTGCATCTCATGTCTGCTTGTTCAAGGTATCTTATAGAGCAGATTTTGAGCTGTGATAACTACATTCCTGGCATATGTCAGACCCTCTATAATTTCAATTAGTTAAGCTATATTTTTACTGAGTGCCTACTATATGACTGGGATAATGTGCTGTTTTTATTTTAGGTACTGAGAACAAACAACAAACGGGAAACCTCAGACTATTGGAAGCTTATGCTTTATTTCCAATAGACTTGGCAAGAAAAGAAATATTTCACTACTGCTTGGCTCAGATGACTGGATGGTGCACTGGCTAAGTCAATTTGGATAAAGAATTATTAAGAAATAATACTATAAGGGACTAGGTCTTGGGGGATCAATTCAGTAAACAATCTGACCTGAGAAGAACCTTTCAGTACCTAACTGAAAAGATGTAGCCTTGGGAACAGACACACCGAGAGAGATTTTTGCTGTCTTTTCTATCTAACCCCTGAAACCCACAGTGGGCACAAATGGGTGGCAGGCAGGACTTATTCTAATGAATGACATAACACTAGGGATCAACTGTCTACTCCATGAATTACAGGAACTCTGCTTTCATTAGAATGGAAAATGGAGTTTTGACCATGCAGTGTGTTAATCTTAGTAAATGAGCACAGTTAAGTGAGTCCAAATTCCAACTTGATTTGTTCGGTTTGTTACTAAAAGACTATTGATTGTCATGGGGAATACTTGCTTCTCCAAGAAGTTTACAAAAGTGCCCACTGACAGGGTTAAGATGGCAGATAATCACCTAACGTCTATATGTATTCGTTTGACTCATCCATTATAAAAAGTGATTATTTTTTTCCTGGAACATGGCACTTCTTCGTATCTTTTAAAAAAAGAAAAATTATGGGGTATTTTTTTCTGAAGTGCAGGCTCATTAACCCCAAATTATCAGTCTTTCTTACAAAGGACATTATCTACATGGGAAACTATATATGTGGGTGTACACTGACAACTGTACATTCTCATAAGTAAGTTTTTGTATATATTTAAATAACACGATTTAATTGGGAAATTTCCTATGCCACTTTTGAAACTATATTACTTACATTAGAGATCACAAGGGAGTAACTGGGTTAGTAACCAGTTTATCACATTAAAATGTATTTTTAATGTATGCTAATTTCAAAAGGCTCATAGGAGAATCCACATGCTTTAGTGGTCTGCACACAGTATTGGGAAGAATGGCTTGGGAATGACTTGCACATCTCTCTCTGGGCAAGGCACTGAATTCACTGGCTCTGCGTTTCCTCATTTATAAAACTGCAGCTAATACATATCTTCTGTACAAAAAAAAATGTTATTTACACAAACAAGGAAGTTGAGCCTAGCAATGTTAATTATAACATTATTCACCTTCAGAGTCTTAAAAAAACAGAATTAAAAACTTCTTAGGACAACATGATTGACTCAAGTATGTGAAGATTTAAACATTTTTTAGTAATATCTGGCATATATTCTTAATTAAAATCTCAGGATACAAAACTTGTGAGTAACTCAAGTTACCTAGAACCCATTTATTACTGAGAACTGGTGTTCGGAGGGGCCTGAGGAAAAATCTTTATTTTACACAGGAAACCACTGGAGGCCCAAGGGCGTTAAATACTTTTCCTAAAAACAAGGGGCTGATGAGCAACTAAGCCATAACCGGAAGGTCGATTTTCCAGGCGTTCCTCCTTTGTCCCATCTCCTATTATGTATTTATTATTTAGAGAAACAGCAAAATAATAAGGGAAACACTGGCCTTCAAATATCAATCTATCCACTACCAATGAAGAGTAATTATTCCACGACAGCTTTTGAGCAACAGGAACTGTGATCATCTGAAGTGAATTAGTAGTAATTTCCAAAAGAGTCAGGCCCATTCAAGATTGCCAGAATTCCCTTTCAAGTGCTGAGAATCCGGGGAAAAAGGCGTCCTTGTGAGGCCTTTGGGGCAACGAATGAACCGTCCAACGGAAGGATTTCTAGTTTACACTCGAGAGCACGAGGCGCGTCGAGCGGCAGGGCTCGGGGAGCGCGGGGCGGTGGCTCCGGGACCCCCTCTCACTCCCCCGGAGCCCGCGCCGCCCGGGACCCGCTCCCAAACCCTCCGACACTCGGGTCCGCGCACCCAACCCCCGGCGGGAGGCGCCTCCCCGGGACCAGCCTCGGCCGCGGGCAGGGGGCGGGCGCTCGGGGGTCGCGGGTACCGGGCAGGGACGGCGTACCTCCGACTCGGGCGTGGTTCCCGCCGGAGTCATCCCCGCGGGGGTCGTCCCCCCGGGAGTCGTCCCCACAGACGCCGCCATGATCCAGCCGCCGTACGGCGGCCCCTCGTCGCTGGGGCAACCGGGGCGGGGCCGGGGTCGCTGGGCTGGGGAAGTGAGCACCACGCACAGCGGCTTCCGGTCCGGAACCGCGTCCCCAGCTGGGAGAGGGTTGGGACCTGGTGGCGTTGGGAGCGGGAGACACGGGTCCGGCCGCTGCGGGGCGCTCTGCCGGAAAGGCCTGCGGCGGTGCCTTGAATCACCGAGTAGAGACAGACTCGTTCCTTTCAGTAAGAGTGAAAAAAAAGAAAAAAAAAAAGAAAGCAGTTTAAACGAACTAGTGTACGTGGAAGTGAACACTGCGAACACATAGCAAGTTCTCAATAAGTATTAAAGTGAGATATATTATTGGAATTGACACTTGATTGACATTTGATATTAAGGAATTGTTATTTTAAAGTGTTAGGAGGTTATTGTCATGTTTACAAGGAAAAACCGTCTTTATCTTCTAGAGACAACATGCTGAAAGATTTAGTGATGATGAAATGGTAAAATGCCAGCGATTTACTGCAAAATCATGACGGGTAGATGGATAATGAGTGGAGGTATAGTGGAAGAATCAAGACTGGGTACATGGAGGGGGTGTGGTCATTACACTATTATTTCTACTTTATATATATTTGAATTTTTCCGTAATAAAAACATTGAAAAACAATACATTTAGTAATAGTATCAGTAGTCTTCTCTGGATGATAGTACCTGCTTTGATAATGAAATGTGCTTTGCTTATATTAACCTGTGTGGGAGTTGCTATGCAGGAAGCTTACTGCAAAAAATCAGACATTATTTGAATGCTTCACTTTCGCCATCTGTAAAATGAGATAATGACAGTGTCCGCCTCATTGCATTACTGTGAGGATTTAACATGTTAATATATGGGAATGTTTAGAATAGTATCTGGTACCTGTAGTCAGATATTATTAGGATTAGTATTAGTTTGTACGTTTCTCTTGACTTTAGTCCATCCTGTACAACACCTGCCAAAATAATATTTCCATCATAGACTTCTTACATTTGCCCACTGCCTTTCAAACTAAATTGAACACTTTAGCTTTATATAACCTCATGATAATTGTGCCTTTCCTTGTCTTACTGTTAAGATTTTGCACACAATTTGTACTAACTGGTGTTTATGAATTGTCTCTACTTTTGTATATGTTTGATTAGTCTTTTAAGTGGACTGTGGCGTCCTCCTTTCCTTGATATTTTCATGCCTAAAGAAAATGGTTTAGCTCTTAGTACAGAATATTCACTCAACAATGAGTTTATGATTTCTAACACTGTTTAAAAAGGACTATGTTAGACTTCCTCAGGTAGTGAAAATATAGTCCATTTTTAGTGATTGCCAGAGTTAATACTTAAGTGCTACCACCTTACAAACTCATTACAATGCTTAATTATTTGATTTTTTTCCTTCTGATGGCTACTTCAAAGAAATGGAAAACAACGGGTCATCTTCTGCTAAGTAAGAACCCTTCACATTCTTTAAATTTAGCCTTTGGTACATTGCTAAAGCATTTATTTCTCTAAACTGTAGTTCTAGTTTTCTCAAATGTCTGATTTATTTTCCTGGCTTTTAATTGTTCTGCCATCTCTTTGACAGTTTTTATGTTTTCTTCACCCCTTTTTGGTTTTGGACCCTGGAGCTAGATGGAGGACTCCATTAAAGATGGAATCAATTCTAACAGTGACAGGAGGGTTACCCCAGGGAGGGGGGAATTGTTTTGTAGGAATTTCAATTTTACTGTATTTAATATCATAATTTATTGGAGAAGTCAGTTTTGAGGAGGTAATTTAATTTTACGGGGCACAGTTTTTTTGCCCAGTAAGGAGTGGTGGTGAAAACCCATTAGCCTGAAGGTTACTTTTAATTTGCACAAGTTGAAGCTGATTTTAGCTTCTCACTTCTTTTGTACGGAGGTGCCAACAAGAAAGACACATCTCAGTAGGTGATATGCTTTCTTACATGGAAAGGTCAGCTAAGTCTTCCTTCTCAAGTCTCTTTTGAAGATAAAGGCTTCTCACCGAAGCCTGAAAATTCCATTCCTTATCTTGGTTTATTGTTTTAAGGCTAGCAGAGAAAAGGAAACATATGGGTCTGGTAGTTTACAATTATTTTCTTTTAAAAGACCTCTGACTTTTAGCACATCACAGTGAAATATGGGGTAGCTTGATACTATTATTTGCTCAATTGGATTGGCCCTTGTTCTAATGAAAGTACTCCAATCTACACACCTATAAACCTATGAGTAGCAGATTTTACAAGTGGAATCAGATTTTCTTGAAGAGGGATATTTTCATAATTTTACCAATTGAGGTATTGGATGTTTAAAATAAACCATACCAGAGAAACATTTAGGAAAGGGCTAGATAATTTTATAATGGGTATTGATGGTCTGGTGTGTCAACATAAGACAATGAAAACCGATGGTGAGATTTCAGCTGTCTTCTTAGGGTAGGGAAACGTTTCTACTCCACTCATGATTTATGTGTTACTGGCTCATTTTAAGTATAAGTGAAGTTCTTTAACAATAAATGAAATAATGTCACTAATGAGATTAATGACATAGTAGTAGTTCTAACACTGGGATTCCTGAGGTCTTCAATCTGTTAGGTGACACCTGTGATAGTCTAAGAGGATCAGGCTGGAAAAAATTCCAATTTGAAATAGTACTGAGAGACCACAAAACTGTGGAGGTGGAATTTAGATAACACTCTGTATTCAAGCCTTCAGATACATTTGTTAGATGTAGAAAGAAAAACTATAAGAAGCATTTTAATTTGTGAATAATCGCCTTCACTCCTGGTTACATATTTAATTTTTAGCCAAGAAAGTATTCCAATTGCTAATCAATTTTGAAATATATTTCATTTTCTTAACCTTTACATAATTCTCAAATCTGGTTTTCTCATTTCAATCAAGTGCCTTAATCTGTTTAAGATATAATTGAGAACATTTTAAAGTCTCACCTTAATAAAGCACTTTTAGGAGATGGCATAGTAAACCTACTGCAGTAGAATGCATTCTATGACTGACTATTATTGGTGGCGGGGAGGGGAGTGTAATGATTTTCAATTAACAGTTGGTATGATTTTGACCTTGTTCATGTAATACTGTGTCCTGTCTTCAAAACTCTATACGCTCCCATGGTGGGCATATCTGTTATTCTTTCTCTCTCCAGTTATTACCTTTACAGTGGATCCTTAGGCCCTTCAGATGAAAATTCTGTCTTTTTCCCAAATCAGAAAATACTCTCTTTTCCTAACCCTCTTTTTTTTTTGGCGGTATGCGGGCCTCTCACCGCTGTGGCCTCTCCCGCCGCGGAGCACAGGCTCCGGACGCGCAGGCTCACCGGCCATGGCTCACGGGCCCAGCCGCTCCGCGGCATGTGGGATCTTCCCGGACCGGGGCACGAACCCGCGTCCCCTGCATCGGCAGGCGGATCCCCAGCCACTGCGCCACCAGGGAAGCCCCCCAGAGCCCTCTTTAAGTCAGTTTTGTAACTTGTTCCTTTTCTTCCTGATAATCTTTAAAAAAAAAAAGAAAGGGTCTCTTACTCATCACCTCCATGCCCTGCAATTGGTCTCTCACCTCCTTTGCTCTCCTAAAGCTCTCGTCTCAAGGGCTGCCCCGGGTCCTGTCTTCCTTGCCGTGTGGACATTCTCTGTTTGTCCCTAATGTCCACTTCCTGCCTTCTCCACTTGACCTTGTACCCTGGAAGGCTGACCCATCAGCTGGATTTGCCAAGTTCCTCACCCTCAGACTTGTGATTGGGTTTGGCCAGTGGGAACACCATCAGATTAATGGTAGGAAAGTGAGGTCAGGGACATTTATTCTCCCTGTTTCCTTCCTGCAGGATTACAAGTTGGGAGTGGCCGGGTTCCTACACCAAAGGACTTGATGGCTGCTGCTGGCCCCTCAGCCCCTCCATCCCCTCTTCAGGCCTAGGGGTAGTGATGGCTGCCCCCTGCTGCTGAGCCCCGGGCTGCTTCCCCATCCCTTGTTGGTTTCCCTGATGTCTGCCCTCGTGTTTATACATAGCTCCGTTACCAAAATTCCCTCAGTTCCCACCTTTGTGCCATCTGTTTCCTGTTGGTACCTTGGCTGACATCAGCAAAAATTAACTCCAAAACATTTAATGTGGAAGACTAAGCCTGGCTTGATCAACACCATTGCTGTCCTCCACTTAGTTGTTGTGCAATGAGCAGTACTGTCTGTAAGTGACCTTGAGCAATTACCCAGGTAAGACTGTATCTCACTGCCATCCATTCTGCATGTGGAGGAACTGATGGTTTGCCTCAGGACTCACAGCCAACAGGGGGGATTAGAACTCCCCATGGGTCCTGTGCTATCCATGTCCTGGGCAGCTGTCTGTCCCAGGCTTGACAAGACTTCTTTAAAACTTGCCCTATAAAAAAGGCAAAATAACAGATCACCTGGGCCCCACCATCCCTCTCCATGGATGATGAGGGAGTGTGGGGGAGGAGCAGTGCCTTCCTCTTCGCTTCTTGTTGATCCTTCAAGGTTTGACCTTTCCCAGTAAAACCTCCCCTGTGCCCTGTGGTGTTGGGGAATTCACCTGGAAACTGGGAGGGACACACCTGGCAGGGGAGCATGCTTGTGACAATGCATGTCATTCACAGATTCACTTCTCCCTGCATGTGTAGATTTATAATTTGCACATTAATTATTTTCATTTAAAAATTGTTCTTTATTGTAGCATTTACATTAGTATTTTTACCACTCCTTTTACACCTCAGGGAACTACTTTTGAGTCCTTGATCCATATTTATGGACTAGTAGTTGAATGCAAAAAACGAGTTAACAAACCTAAGCAACGATACACACCTTAAGTGAAAATGCTTCCCCTGAAAAAACCTGCACCGTTTCCAGAACGTTCATCCAGGCAAACGGATGCAAATTCCTGAAGTGCAAGCAGAATCTTTAAACACATGATTTGAGTTAGTCATAAACAATTTTTGTGAAACTCAAAATTTATCCAACGTTTTACATTTGTGAAATATGTATGATCAA